GGCCTAGGTACACGTCAGCAGCAACTATTGTTGCACTCGGCCCTGCTGACACAGCGCCTGCTGGTTGGACAAACACCGCATGATCAGGCGTTCCGTCTGCCTTCATTACAGTCACCTTCGACAAAGGCGAACCTTCTAGGGTAGGAAGCGGCTGATCATCTGGGTGGGCCAAAATTTCACGATACGTCATGCGAGTCGCGAGTACCGTGAACTCGGAGATTCGGACGCTGTCGCGCGCGTTGAAGGTGTCATCGCTAACTCGCACAAGGGCAGCGGTGCTGGGAGCAAGAATGGTGAGATTCTGACGGAAGAGGTTGTTCGGACCTGTAGACACTGGGCACACGGAATTATGAGAATGGTCGGAGAGGGAAACGATTAGGAGTGACATTGAACAAGTTCGAATTACAGTGAGATAAGCCTCAGCAGCAGGAGACGTAGCACAAGGTGTATAAACGCACGTGCGGGAGCTAACGTTTCGAGGGCGTATTTGGAGAAGCCATGGATTTGCAGCAGTGCGGCGATCGCATCCTTCAGCTCTTCCCGATACGAGGCTTGGGATGCTGGTTCGATTATTGGTCGGCTGCCGGATGACAGGGTGAGAAAATTAGTCGCTATTACTAAGAACGCGGCCAGACAGCCAAACCATTGTCGTGTTCCCCAACGCGAGAAGCACGTCATGAAGCATGTGCTGAACAGAACAAAACGCGCTTATTTTATGTTCCCATAGCCTGCTTGACTGGAAAATAGAGCATTGCTGCGTGCACTAAGAGGAAATTCCACATTGCAGTGGCTGGATGCAAGAAACACAGTAGAGGTTGCTTTGCTGATGTGGTTCAGCTGGAGCTGGAAGGGTGTGGGGAAGGGGTAGGAAGGATTGGGTTGGGTGGGGTAGAAGGGGGTTGGTTGTTGTGACAAGCAGCTGCTGCAGCAGCCCGCAGCCCAGTCACAAGAGTCTCGCCCAACCAACCAATCGAGCTCCCAAGTCGCGGGGTCAAGCCGTTTGCGGCTTCCAACCAAGCAGGCGATACGTGACAAAAACGCGAAGGACCGTCACAGTGAAACGCAGTACCGTACATTCACGAGGCGCTGTCATTACAGTGGCATTAGGTTGGGATTTTTGAAAGGTGAAGTTATAAGGTTACTTCATTTGAGGACCAGACCAGAGGTATTCCCCCTCAATGAATACTGCCAAATTCAACTGGCTACAGTTTACAATGCTTATGCTAAGCTTATGACTGACAGTTGATATAATTCTCTGATACACAGAGGTACAAATAAGAGCCAACAAACCTCTAACCACCGTCAAAGAATCAGCACCCCGCGAGCTTGGCAAACACACCTCTAATCATAGTACACGATATAAGCATGTCACACCCACAGGCAAATGCCATACCAACCACCTCAAAGCATGCAAACCGAAACCCAATAACCATGCAATGGTGCTGCACCTTCTCGCACACTATCCTGCAAGGAGTATTCATAAGCCAGCATATCGCTACACTGCATCGCCTTCAGACCTCTGCAGCCCACACCTCAAGCTACAGCTGGCTTGGTGCAAGTCATGCCATCAGCAGAAGCCACAAATCCGTCCTTGCACCGGCACCCCGCCTTTCCACCAGCTGCATCCCAAAAGCAGACACCACCGCCTCCGCACTGAGGAGAACTTGCGCCTGTCCCACAGAACGCAGTGCATTGCGCAGCAGCCCTCTGTGACTTGGCTGTGCAGGTCGCACTGGACACCAAGCAATTTCCCTGAACAGAAATTTCATTCGGGAAATCTTTGCCCGGGCAGATTACGGCGGTTTTCGGCGTGCCTGTCCAATTGGCTGCCTGGATGGTCATCTCATCCTTTCCGTAAAAGTAGTTGTTGCTCAAATCAATGATGCTTGAGAATCTGTAACATGAAACAGCGTCGGAGCCCTTGGGGCCACACCCCCTCCCGAGGTTTGGGAACTTGGGCAAAGCTCCAGAAAAGTAGTTGTTCGCCACTTTGAAGGCCCGCAGCGATTGCCCGAGATTGGCCAGCGATGTGGGGAGGTAACCGCTCAGCTTGTTGTTGCTAACATCGAAATTCATGAGCGTCGTGGAGAATCCGAAGGTAGCCGGCAGGTAACCGGTCAGCAGGTTGCTGCTGACGTCGAGCACTTCGAGCCCGTCCATCCGGCCAAACGCGGACGGAATTGGGCCGGTCAGCTGGTTGTCTGACAAATCGATGACCGAAAGAAGCGGGCAGCCCGACAAACCAGTTGGCATCTGTCCGGCGAACTTGTTGCCGCTGGCTGTGAAAGTCTGGAGATTCGGCGCGTTTTGGAAAAGGGTGTTGGGAATGCCACCGGTGAAAGCGTTGCCGTCGATTTCGAACATTTGCAGCGGGGAATTCGCCTGCCCGAATATCTGTCTCCACGGAAACAGCCCCGAGAGCTTGTTATCCGCGACATAGAACTCCTTGAGGTAAGGCATCTTGGAGAAAACACCGCGAGGAATCTCGCCAGTCAGCTTATTTTGGCGGAGATCAAGCGACGTGAGGGCGGTGAGTGCAGCGAATGCCGCGGGCAGCGGGCCTTCGACGCCCGCGGAGACCAGCCGCATGCTGACGACGTTCCCAGAGTCGTCAATATCGAGGCCCTCCCACGCGGATGTGTCCGTACTGCCCTCCTGCCACGTGGAAGCTGCGTAGAAGCCGCTCTTCCAGGCGGCTTTAATCGCCAACAATGCCTTCAGCTGCGCGGAAGCGGGGGCGGTCGGCCCGGAAACGAAATCGTCAAAGCCTATGTAGTCGCCGTTGGGGTCGCTGGAGGAAGCTTCGTCGCCGAACGCGGAGGAGAAGAGGCGGCGCCGCGAACCGGCTGCGGAGTCACGCACGCGATGCAGGCCGCGGCGAGCGTGCATGCGGTGCAAGTGGGGGCGGTCGTACGTGCGGGCGAGGGCGGAGGTCGCGAGGGTGAGGCATATGAGGATGGCGAGGAAGGAACGCGCCATGGTTCCAGTGCGAACTGACTGCGTGCTTCCGGGGTTCGCGTAGCAGATGCGATACTACTAGTACGGAATGGTCGGGAGGCTCAGCTAAAAAGTACACGGTGTCACTTGGAACTAAGAAAAGAACATCGACTGTGTAGAGGAAGCGCCCTAATCAGTCTAACTGGGTGGAACGGGTAGACGCATGTACTTACGGACTATCTATAAGGGTGGATTCTCGTTCAGTTACCACAGTCTGCGAAACCGTGGTTCTCGGTCAGAACCGAGAGACCCAAGGTATGACGTGGATGCGGAAACGAAAATCTAACGACGAGAAAATTTATGCCGTGGCATGACGTCTAGCCTAGAGAGGATGATGCGGTGAGGTGATGGTTTTGCCCAGCAGAGCCGTCCAGAAACGCTCTAGCAGGGGAGGGGATGGAACTGGCTTGTTCTGTGCTTGTGCTGTGCAGCACATGCCGTACAGCATCAACCTTCGTTCCATTCCATTCCATCCGCTGCCTCTTTTTTGTCCCGCTGGGCGCAAGCACGTGCGGTATCCGCAACGTTGCGGAGGGTATTGTGTAGGCGTTCTGGGGAATCCGTGCCCGCCTGTTTGTCCAGCCATTCTCTTCCCCCTCCACCGTTCCGCGCATTTCCCGCGCGAAGAATATCGTCGTGTCGCGAGGTCGCCATTCATCCACCTTTTGCCCTGCGCTCGCACATGGTCGCAAGAATGCCCTGGTTGGTGCCACCGCAGGTTGAGGCGGCCCTCAAGCTGATGTGCTGACGAAACTCGTTGGAGTCGTCAACAAATTTCGCGACATACACTTGAACCTTGAAAGCAAGGCATGTCACTGCTCAGTCTCATTTGATGCCGTACTCAACACATCAGGAATCTATATAAACCACTCTAAAGCAACGAATTTGACCGAGCAGCATGCAAACGTTTTTTTTTTTGTGGCACACCCTGATTGAAAATAGATGTTGGCGACGCTGATAGCGGAGGACAGACAGAACTGGAGGGACCTGGTTTGCGAACCGCATGGTGCTGTTCAGGTGTACCATTGCGACGATTTGCGACAAAGGCAAATTTCCGAAACTCCTTGCGACAGCATCGTATCGGCCGCCGTCCAAGAAGACGCTAGTCCTAACGGCAACAACTTTCAGTCGGCACGGAAGGTTGATTCGTTACAAAATTTGTGCATAGAAAGACGGGTTCTTGTAAGTAAACCCTGTTCCATGCCTTTATAGCCCGGAAAGAAACACAATGCACTGGTGGTGGCATAGTCACCAACACTGCGCATCCTCCAACCACATTTTCATTTAACAAATTAGAACACCCACTCATTCAGAGGGTGCTGTTGGCGCTGAAAAGTGCTCTTCGTCTGATAACCCGGGCCGGGAAGCAGACTCGTTGGGGGACCTGCTCTTCCGCAAGGCTGGTTCGAGCACCGCTTTCCCGGAGGCGACTCTGATTGCGATTACGCTGCATCAAGTCTGGCTAGAACGCTGTGAAGCTACCTTCCGTGGGCGCAAGTTTCGCGCGCGCCGAGTTCTGAGAAGGATAATTGTCACCTTTCGGCAGCATGCAAGGGTGTACATGAAGGCCCGCATGTCCACGTGGCAAAAAAGGAAGACATCGGCGCAAAGCGGAGGTTTCCAAACGAGCCTGTTGGAAGAGCAAAAGCTGATGAGTCGGATTCGGGTGGCTGACGATAAGAACTGGAAGTGGACCAGACCTTTCGAGTCCATCTGGACCAATCCGAGAACAGTATACAACCCTCTGTAGACAGCTCGCCGGGACAGTCAGCCCTGTCCCCGCCAGAGTCGGTTACGACCGCTATTGTTAGTATGCATTTGCCTGATGTGATGTATACTTTCAATTAAAAAAAAAAAGAACACCCACTCATTCAGCAAGCATAACAAAATGAGAATTCCGGTGGCACGAGAATGTTGTGATCACCCATAAAGAGACTGAACATGTTGGACCACACAAAACAAGCAAAGCAAGGCTCCACAATAAATACAAAACAACACCACTCTTAACTCCTCGAGTTGACCAAACGAAGCAGGAGCTGATGCTGTTGCGCCAGCTGGCGCTGTAACTCAGCTGTCTGCTCTTCCAACCGGAGGTCTCGATTGGTGAGCTGCCGCTGCAGGTGGCGAAGAGCCCGGCGCTGCATCTGCACCTCCCCTTGAAGCTCCGCCAGCCCTTCTGACGACACCGTCGTGCTTTTCTCGATCCGAAACACCTCTTCCTGCAGGAACCAAAACGACACAAGGGCTACAAATCAGTTGCGCATTCTCCTCCCAACTCCACATGATAATCAGACAGAAGATAAAAGAACTAAGGTAAGACGGGTATACAGTAAGCGCACCTTCATAAGCTCAAAATCTGCATCCTCGTCGGTGCCTTGCCCTGGAGTGCGCACCACTGACCCCATCTCTTCCCCAAACTGTGCCAGTATGATCTCTGTCATCCTCTCTGGCTTGATGCCTGGCCCTTGCTCCGTCCTTTCCTGCCATTGGAAGAGAGGAAAAGAAAAAGAGAAGGAAAAGAAAGGGGGTGAACGGCAGACAAAGCGTTCCACAAGTCAGGTGATGAATGCGAACAAAGGGAAGAACGTATGTGGAAACCAACCCAAGCTCGTTTTAAGCTGGGTTCACACAGGATGGTGCGCTTGGGTTCCCGGCAGTGGAATCCCCACTTGTGATCAGTGGTGAACCACATATACTCCCACCTCCCCACTTGTGATCAGTGGTGAACCACATATACTCCCACCTCCCCACTTGTGATCAGTGGTGAACCACATATACTCTCACCTCCCCACTTGTGATCAGTGGTGAACCACATTTACTCCCACCTCCCCACTTGTGATCAGTGGTGAACCACATATACTCCCACCTCCCCACTTGTGATCAGTGGTGAACCACATATACTCCCACCTCCCCACTTGTGATCAGTGGTGAACCACATATACTCCCACCTCCCCACCACACCCACCGAGTGGGCCTTGAGCAGCGAGATTCGGTGCGAAGGAACAGCCGGCAGCTATTGATGCGCCTTACAAGTCACCCAACCAGTGCCCCCAGCCCCTTTCACCACCCACCGGATCGCCCTTGAGCAGTGAGAAGCGGCGGGAAGAACCTGCCGTGGGGCAGTGCTGCAATCGGCACTCGAGCACCCTTGATAGGTTATCCGTCTGATTGGAGGCGCATAGAAACCACACCCCTACCCCACCTCCCTTCCCCACCCACCGAATCGCCCTTGAGCAACGAGAAGCGGCGGGAGGACGAACTCGCAGGGCAGCGCTGCAGGCGGCGCTCGAGCACCCTTGATAGGTTATCGGCCGTGTAGCTCCGGGAGTTGACTCGGAAGACCCGGCGCGGGCGGCTCAGGTCTGGTTGGGGGCAGGTTCTAGGGAAGCTGAAGCAGCTGTCGAGATCGCTGAAGCTGCCTCGGATGACCCGCATGGAGTGGGCAAACCCAGAGACCTGTGGGGGAGTTGGAGGGGGGAACATGCAGGCGGAAGGAGCAATTGCTTGGTTGACTCAGGGGTGGATACTGCAGCTGAAGTTGAAGCAGCTGAAGCAGAAGCGGTTGAAGCTGAAGCAGCTGTTGAGGTCTCCGAAGCTGTTGACAGCTCCGAAGCTCCCGCAGATACCTCTCAAGGAGTAGGTGCTTGCTTTTGGGGGCGGATGGTATAGTGGGGGCAACACGCAGTGGCTAACTTGTCCTGAATGACACACAAGAGTCATGGCAAAAGCATCACCGCAAACACCAACACCTGCATCAGCAGCACCAGCACCAACACCAACATCAGCAGCACCAGCACCAACACAAGCACAAGAAGACCTTGCTGAAGCCTGATGGTACACACCTTCTGATTGTCGTCCTCTGCCCCCAGAGCAAGCAGGTGCCTCTGCAGGCGTCCCGGCTTCCAGTAGCGCGAGGAGCAGCGGATGGCGTAGCTGCGGAGCACACGCCACATGTCCAGGAAGAAGGACGGCGAGTCCTCCGACTCTTTCTGTGGGTGTGCAAGCAATGGGGTTGAACATGGCAATGGAAATGAGAAGGACGAAATCGGAACTGCACAAAGTGCCAACGGTACAGACAAAGTGCCAAATGGGAGCCATCACTGGAAGCGAAGTGAACAGGGAAATTGACTTAAAAAAGGTGAGGGGAGATGTTAAGAGCAAAACAACAGACAACTGCACACACTGTAGGACCAATCAACTGCTCACCTGCACTTCCATCGAGTCAACCACGATGGTTATGAGCCCAAAGAGCAGCACGATGGCTATGGGCAAATCGAATCGGCCATGCTGGCAATGATTCTCTCACCTGCACTTCCATCATCGCATCGACCACGATAGCAATGAGCACGTTGAGCAGCACAAACACCATCACCCCCACAAACGCGATCCAGAACACCATCGCTGCCGCCAGCGGCCACCCCTCCAGCTGAATGAAATAATACCCCGTGGAGTTATCATTAATCAGAATCAGAAAGCAGGAGACGAGCGACATGGCGAGCGTATTGAACTGCTCCAGGGTTCGGCCGAAGACTGCATAGGCGTAGACGGAGAGGCCGACGAAGACGATGGCCCAGAGGAGGAGGAAGTGGCCGAGGGAGGGGAGGGCTGCTGCCATGGTGCGAGTGAGGATGGAGATGCGCGGCTGGAAGTCCATCAGCTTGAGGAGGCGCAGGGTCATGAGGAAGACGCTGAGGAGGGAGGGGGGTAAAGCATATATGGTGGGGAGAGGAACGGGTGGGGGGGAAATAGGGTGGTCGCACATGTTTCCCAGAAAGCTGCATAGCCTAGGATTAGGTTCTCGCAGGTGAATAGGTGCGTGTGTGTGTACGTGTGCATGTCCATGTCCATGTCCATGTGCATGTCCATGTGCTTCAGAAGATGATAAGGTGTCACTAGAAACACATCAAGAGGGGGAGAGGGGTATGAAGAGAAAGCTACAGAAGGAGGAGGGCGGCATGCGCATTTGACGCCTTGTAGGTCGGTCAGGCGAGTGAAGGATTAGATTGGCAACAGTAAAACTCTGATAGAGAATGGGGGAGGCATGCAGGCAGGCTCACTGATGCTCTGCAGGGCGACGCAGATGGAGCGCCAGGAGACGATGTGCTCTATCTGATTGTACACACTGCGCTGTCTGGATCCTACGTTGCAGGCACGTATCGTCCCTATGGCAGCAACGTGGTGCCCTGTTAGACTCACTTGATGCCCTGCAGGGCGACACAGATGGAGCGCCAGGAGACGATGTGCTCTATCTGATTGTACACACTCATTGCTGCCAGGTACTGTGTTGGCGGCGGGTATACTATCTGTGCGGGGAAAGAAGGGAAGGGAAGGGCACAGGGAAGGGAAGGAACATATGCTCTATCTGGTTCACACACTCATTGCTGCCAGGTACTGCGATGGTGGTTGCACCACCTGTGGCGGAGGGAAGAGAAGGGAAGGGAAGGGAAGGAATAGGAGGGCAAGGAAAGGCGAGCAGCAGCGAGTGAAGGGAAAGAAACATTGTGGTCTTGCATACTCATTGCTGCTAGGTACTTCTAGAGCACAGGTAGAGCGCAGGTACAGTGAGTCTGGCACCCACCTGCCAGGGGGAGGGTGTGTCGCCCACCCACCTGCCAGGGGAAGGGTGTGTCGCCCAGGGAAGTGTAGATGTTGTAGCGCGCCTGCACTGAGAACGGCCCAGACAGCTGTATCGATATGATGAACCTGCAGTACAGTGCGGTGTACGGGGCATGGGGAGTTGTGCGGAGGATGAGGTGGAAGGGCACAGGACATGGGTGTAGCGCGCCTGCACTGAGAACGGCTCTGACAGCTGTATCAAGATTATGAACCTGCACAGGGAGAGGGGCATGGGGTGCGGGTCATGGGGAGTGGAGCATGGGGAGCAAAGCACGGGGAGTAGAGCACGGGGAGTGGAGCATGGGGCATGGGCAAGAGGCGTGGGCATGTGATGAACGAAGGGGCAAGTTGATAGCATGAGGTACATATGATATGGACACAGGGGACACAATGTGCAACGCATGGCATGACAGAGAGGAAGTGCCACAAGGATGCTTCCATTTCCCCTCTGTCAATCAAGCTTGTTGACGTGGCGCTGACTCATTCACGCTGACGTGGCGCTCACCAGATGATGATGCCGGAGAACTGGATGGTGAGGGAGAGCACGTCCAGCCAGTTCCAGAGCGACCGGAAGTATGAACACATCTGCCATGCCATGCCATGCCATGCCATGCCATGCCATGCCATGCCATGCCATGCCATGCCATGCCATGCCATGCCATGCCGTGCCATGCCATGCCGTGCCGTGCCATGCCACGCCATGCCATACCATGCCATGCCACGTAAGGCATAGATGCAGCAAGCACACACAGGAAAGCGGTCAGCAAGTCAGGCGAGTGCCAACGAAAGGCACTGAGCAGGGCGGAGCAGAAATGAGCAGAGGAGAGGCAGAGCCCCACGCGCCCCACCACTCATCTTGCCCTTGTGCACCCGCTCGGGCTTTACCAGCATTGACCAGCGTGGGCCCCACGCGCCCCACTGTGTACTTTGGCTTCGAGGCTCACCTTGCCTGTTTGAAGCCAAAGCCCGAAGGCCTCTCTGGCCTCTTCGAGTAGGTTCCACATCACAGCAATGACATACACGAGCGTCACCCCCAGCTGCACCCAGTCGCCCTCCGTTCGAAACACATCCACGTTCACCGGCTCTATCTCGTACTTCACTGCTATCTGCCCTCCCACCTGGTGAGAGAGCGAGAGGGAGTGAGTGAGGGAGTGAATGAAGGAGTGACTGCTCCCCTCCGTGCAAAACACCTCCACGTTCACCGGCTCTATCTCGTACTTCACTGCTATCTGCCCTCCCACCTGGCGAGAGAGCGAGAGGGAGTGAGTGAGGGAGTGAATGAAGGAGTGATTGCTCCCCTCCGTGCGAAACACCTCCACGTTCACCGGCTCTATCTCGTACTTCACTGCTATCTGCCCTCCCACCTGGTGAGAGATAAAGAGGGGAGAGGTTGTGCGTGGGCGTAAGGGAGGGAGAGTGTGTCGCAGGGATAGAAGAGTCCACAGACGTGCAGCAGCTCAACAAGCAGCAATGAAGAGAGAGGAGAAGCAAAGAGCACAGGGTATGGGGCAGGGGCATGGATGGGCGGAGAGGGAACAGGACAGGGTGTTTAGAGAGGGTGCACCTGGAAGATGAAGGAAGAGATGAAGCACACTCGAGTGAGCACAAAGAGATGTGTTTTTGAGACGTCTCAAAAGCACATTGTATACAGGGTGGTTAGGAAGGGTGCACCTGAAAGATGAAGCGCACTCGAGTGAGCACAAAGAGATGGCTCTCCCCTGCACAAGGCACGGCACGGCATGGCATGGCACCACGAGGGAGGGGGCAGAGGTGCGTGCAGTGCAGGGAAAAAAGAGGTCAAGGTAGGGGATGACTGGCGTGCAAACAGGGCAGGGCAGAATTTTGAGAGCTGTGCTGTGCAAGGATAATCCCATCCCATCCCATGGCATTTCATCTGCACGGTGTCGTCCGTCCGGTGACGTCAGCACGATGCCGTCAGCATGGTGACGTGGCGAGGGCGCTAGGGCAAGGCGGGGTACCGTTGTAAGTGAGCATCTGGGCCATGATGGTGCGGGTGACAATTTCTGAGGCGCCTAAATAATCGCCTCACAACAACTGGATACTGTGTGGGTACCATTGTAAGTGAGCATCTGGGCGGTGATGGTGCGGGTGGCATTGTCGATAAAGAAGCCGTCCATGAGGTACTGCAGCCGGGCGGCAGCCGCCCCGCTGTCCAGATTCACGTCAAACAGGACGGGGAACGCCGCCTTGTCCGGCTGTATGGGCGAAAATCCGTACGGCACACTGTGGTTCTGAAACGCCCGCAGCTCCGTGGAATTTACAGGCGCTACAGTGCTGCCGCTTCCTGATTGGCTGACGGCGCTGCTGCTGCCGCCCGAAACTGAGGATTCGGATTGGCCGGCAACGGGCGGCACGGACTGGTTGGTGGAGGAAGCGAGGGCGGCTGCAGCGTCAGGGTCGTAGAGCGAGGAGGAGGGGAGGAATGCCGGGTTGATCCCGAATGGCTGCCGGGAGGTGCTGTTGGCACAGTAGGGGAAGAGGCTCAGGAACCTGGGGGAAAGGGGAGGGGACGGGATGTGGGGATGGGGGGGAGGGGCAGGGGCGGGGAGGGAAGGGGGAGGGGGTAGATGGGGAAGAAGCGGTAAGGGCGGTGACAAACGAGTGGGTGGTGAGGAGAGGGGATGAGCAGGCATGGAATGGTTTGGAGTGGAGGCATCACAATCACAACGGATTGCAACTCATTGCAGTGCTCCTGGAGGGGCGGCTGGGGGCGCCATCAGCATGCTTGTGCTTGAGGAAGAGCCGGATGAGCAGCTGGTTGCGCTCCGCCACTTACCACACCTGCCTGCACCACCTGCTGTGGGGAAGGGGGGGCCACCACAGCACACGTGCTCCTCTCTCACCTGGAGGGGCGGCATGGCCCGCCATCAGTGCGGGTCTGTTCGAGGAAGAGACCGATGAGGAGGCGGTTGCGCTCCGCTGCCACGTACCGCGCCTGCGCCACCTGCTGCCTCTCCGCCACCAGCACGCCCAGCGGCGACGCTGCCACGCCGCGCACGGTGCCGCCTGCTGTGCTGTTCGTTGTGGAGTTGCCGGGTGTGGTGGCGTTGGTGGGTGCTGCAGTGGCAGTGGCAGTGGCAGTAGTGGCGGAGGCAGTGGGGACGGAGAAGGGGAAGCGGAGGCGGGGGCCGACGTCCTTCATAAGACAGCACGCTGAGAGGGCATGGGGGGACGTGTGGGGTGGCGTGGGGGAAAGACGGGGGAGAATGGGGGAAAGATGGGGGGGAACGGGGGAAAGATGGGGGGGAGTGGGGGAAAGATGGGGGGAGATGGGGGAAACGTGGGAGAGAATGGGGGAAACGTGGGGGCCATGGGGGATGATGCGATGTTTGCTCCTATTCCACGATAAGCTTGAATTCAAGGGGAAGCGGAGGTGGGGGACAACGTCCCTCATGAGACAGCACGCAGGGAGGGCATGGGGGCCCGTGGTGGGGAGAGATGAGGATGTGCGAGGGGTTTGAGCAGGCGAGTGGTGTGGCGTGAGCACAGATGCAGCATGGTGTGGCGTGAGCACAGATGCAGCATGGTGTGGCGTGAGCACAGATGCAGCATGGTGCGCACTGCACCGCCAGGGGCGCTGGGATCATTGCCGCTGCTGGCGAGACAGCAGCAGTAGGTGGCGCAGAGGGAGCAGATGGAGCAGAGGGAGCAGATGGAGCAGATGGGGGGCCAGGGGCAGCTGCTGCTGCTGCTGCTGCTGTGAGGGCTGCAGCAAGGGTGGCGGTAGAGGGCGATTGGGAAGAAGAGGAAGTGGCGGCAGAGGCAGCAGGGGCAGGCAGCACGGAGAGGAGGCCGGGCATGAGGCGGCCGGTGCGCGTGCAGTGGTAGCGGTAGGTGCCGGGGGCCAGCAGCACTGCTGAGACAGAGAAGACCTCAGGGTCGCCAGGGATGGCTGTGAGCGTGCGGGGAGAAAGGAGTGGGCAAGTGGGAGGGGGGGAGAGAGGAGTGGGCCGTGGGGGGGAGCATGGGAGAGGGGGCGGGGGTCGGGGGAACAGTTTGGGTGAGCGAGGCGAGGCAGGATGAGGTGCAATGCATGCAGCACATACACTGGGATGGGCGGAGCACACACGGTGGAGTCTAGGGAAGTATGTGGGAGCACGAGTAGGGCGGGGTCTGACAGAACTTGAAGGGCTTACAGAGCGAGCAGGGCAGAGCGAGCAGGGCAGAGCGAGCAGGGCAGAGCGAGCAGGGCAGAGCGAGCAGGGCAGAGCGAGCAGGGCAGAGCGAGCAGGTCTTACAGAGCGAGCAGGGAAGAGCGAGGAGGGCTTACAGAGCGACCAGGGCTTACAGAGCGAGCAGGGCTTACAGAGTGAGCAGGGCAGGGGGACGTGTGCGGCCCACAGCAGGTGCACAGCAGCAGTGGCGCGGTCAGAGTCGTCCGCAGCAGCAGGCAGCGTGCCCACGTTGTCACTCGCACACTCCGTGCCTGCTGCCACCACCAGCTGCCCCGTGCCAAAGCCGTGCCATGGGACTGGCTGGGCCGCGCTTGGGTTGGTCACTGGGGGGAATAGAGGGAGCGGAAGAGGGAAGAAGGGAGAGGATGGGGAAAGAGATGGGTGGGGGGAATGCACCCGTGTTGTCGCTTGCGCACTCCGTGCCTGCTACCACCACCAGCTGATCCATGCCACGCTGTGCCATGGGGCTGGATGGGGAGAGGTCAGGCCGGTTCCTGCACGCTGGCGGGAGGGAATGTGAGGGATGGGAACAGGAGAAAGGATGGGGAAAGAGAGCAAACAAGCACCCATGGCAAGCAGGCGAGTATGGCACGCAAGCACACACAACAAGCATCCATGGCATGTACATGTGAGCGCATGAGGCAGCCCATCAGCCCACAGCCACGTGACCTTCTCCCCCACGGCCACCGTCGTGTTCAGCACCACTCCTGGCACCCACAGCAGCGTGGGGCCCACCGCGTTCCCACAGGGCGGCAGGGAGGGGAGCACCACTGCCGGGTCGAGCGTGTGGAGGAGGCGCGAGAGGGCCGCCAGGCGTGAGGGGGGAAGGGCGAGCAGGGAGTCGAGTGCGGCGAGCAGCATGGCTGTGAAGCGCGCCTGCTGCGTGTGGGAGAGGGGCGTTGGGACGCCACTGGAGGGAGAGGAGTGGGGTGAGGAGAGGGGAGATGAGTTTTTTAAGAGGCACTTAAACCTGAAAAAAAGAAAAAGACGAAGTGGAGTGCGGCGAGCAGTCGTGGAGTACCCATCCTCCACCTTCCATCTCCAAATCCCAATTTCCATCTCCCATCCCCCATCCCTCACCCCCCAACTCCCACCCCCCATCCCAGCAGTTCCCCCCGCTCACTTGGCATGCGCCCACGGCACATCGGTGCTGAGCTGCTGCAGCGTCACCAGCTGGCGTCTGGACGCGTGGTGTGTGTAGATGCACCCCTGCACGCGCTGCGCCGCCCCCTCGCCGCCCATCAGCGTGCACAGAAACGCCACGAGGCGCAGCCGGGCGGCAGGGGCGAGGAGGGCGGGCGCAGAGGATTGGGCCGCAGAGGGGAGGGGCGGCTGGAAGGGGGCGGCGGAGACCAGACAGCTGTCCTTGACAGCTGTGTAGAGTGTGCGGGCGACTGCCACGTGGCAGTTCTGGATTCGCTGCTGGTCGGAGGAGCCGAGGGCCTCCCAGAGGGTGTCGTAAGCAACGCCTGCAGGCGAGGTGGGGGGGGAAACGGGAGGGGAGGGGAGGGGAGGGGAGGGGAGGGGAGGGGAGGGGAGGGGAGGGGAGGGGAGGGGAGGGGAGGGGGAGGGGAGGGGAGGGAGGGGAGGGAAGGGAAGGGGAGGGGAGGGGAGGGGAGGGGAGGGGAGGGGAGGGCAGGGGGAGGGAAAATGGGAGGGGAGAGTATGGGGGAAGGTGAGGTGGAAGGGGAGGGGGGCAATGAGGGAAAAAAACGGAGGATAGAGGTTGGGCAGAGAGGGGCTGGAGGTCGTGAGAAGAGCAGGGTAGATTTTTGAGGTGACAAGATAAAAGAGGTTGGACGCACGCAGCAGGTGGGAAGCGCGAGAGGGAGCACGAGCAGGAGGGGGAGCTGAAGAGGGAAGAAGGTAGAGGCAGAGGAGAAAAGAAGCGCACCAGCAGTGGGGGTGACTGCAGGGGCGGCGGCAGCAGCGGCATCGGCAGCAGCAGAAGCAGAAGCAGCGTAATAAGCAGCAGCAGCTGCCGGTGCAGGCAGGGCAGCACCCTGCTCCTGCAGCATCTGCAAGGGCGGCATCACAGCACCCTGCAAGGGCGGCATCACAGCACCCTGCAAGGGCGGCATCACAGCACCCTGCAAGGGCGGCATCACAGCACCCTGCAAGGGCGGCGTCACAGCACCCTGCTGCTGCGGCACTCTGCGGCGCCCACCCTGCTGCCCTGCTGGCCCATGCGGATGGTAGTGGTTGTAGTGGTTGTAGGGAAAGGGTGCCTCCTGGGGTTCAGCACAGGGCGGGAGGATTGTCGGGGGCGAATGGGGGAGCAAAGGGAGGCAATGAAGAGGGAGAAGAGGAGAGATGGGAGGAGGTGCGCGGTGGGAGAGGGCACGGGGCAGGTGTGTGGTGCCAGAGGGGGGCAGGTGAGTGGGTGAGTGAGTATTGGGAAAAATCTTTTCAATGCCTCGGCACGGGACAGGGGAGGACACGAGGCAGACGGGTGGCATGAGACGCATGGGTGGCACACGCCGCACAGTCAGCTGAGTGCTGTGAAGGAGAGGACGCAAACGCCTTGTGCTCACCTTGGCTAGTCTTCTGGAGGCTGCAGCAGCGGATGCGGCAGCAGAGGTGGCTGTAGCAGCAGCGGAGGCGGCTGTAGCAGCAGCGGATGCGCCAGCACAGAGGTAGGTTGAGAAGTCCGGTGGCAGGGCTCCTAGGGCCTGGTGGGATGAGATGTGAGAAGGCGGGAGGGAGGACAGGCCGCGCACGCATAGGCACATGAATAGCCAGACCAGAGCGTTCTCAAGAGGGTGCTCTTGGTCCTCAGTGTGCTGCTGTGATGAAATTTCAGTCGACTAAAAAATCATCTCGCACGCACGGGCACACGGATGGCCAGAGCGCTCTCACAAGGGTGCTCTTGGTCCTCAGCGCTGTGCTGTGCCCCTCTGTGCACACGATAAGAGCATGGAAGTCGCATGATGCAAGGCGCGGGGCAGTGCAAGGTGGAGAGACAGGTGGCTGCAGGCAGGCAGCGGTGCAGATCCGTTTAGGAACAGGAAGGGGGTTGTGGGGGTGGACGGTCAGCGTGTGCAAAAGGCAGGACATTGCAGGCGGCAACGCAGGGTGTGTCAGGGCCCAGAGCAGGGCCCAGAGGATTCGGTTAAGGCATTGATGGTGGGCGGCGCATGGGAGGGAGTACCTGTGTGCAGGTGAGGTTGTGGGCGGGGACGGGCGGCGCGTGTGGCGGGTCGTTGCAGGCGGCTGCGCAGTCGACAAAGACGGCTGCTAGCACACGCGGCGAGAGCGGGTCGGGGCACGCCTCGAGCACACAGCGTGCCAACACCGCACACGCCTGGAGGAGGGACGGCGGGAGAGGGTTGAAGGGAGAGGTTGGGAGGGAGTTGGGGCGATTCTGAGGCATGTTAAAACCAACACGGCACGGCACATGCCTGCGGGGATGGTGAGAGGAAATTGGGGCGAATCTGAAAGCGCGTGAAAAAAACAACATGGCATGTGCCTGGGAGGGTGGTGGGAGAGAGTTGGGGGGAAGAAGGGGTTGGGGCAAGTCAGGAGTTGGGCGCTGGGACAACGAGACAACAAGGAGACAGCAGAGAGCGGGACTCACGGATCGGCAGCACGTGAGCGGCGAGGTGGTGGCCTCCTGACAGCCACCCCACTGGGCTATGGGCTGAGGGGAGGATGAGGATGAGGAGGAGGAGGAGGAGGAGGAGGAGGAGGAGGAGGAGGAGGAGGAGGAGGAGGAGGAGGAGGAGGAGGAGGAGGAGGAGGAGGAGGAGGAGGAGGAGGATGAGGAGGAGGATGAGCCAAAGTAACCAGGCGAGTTGATGGGCAGGTCAGCAGATTGAGAGGATTGAGCAGCAGGGTAGACGAGGCCAGCGACCCCTCCAAAGGGCGCAGAGAGCACCACCTCCCAGTCGCCCTCCGGTACCCACACTGTCTCCTCCCACTCCGCCGCCACCTGGGAAAACACCTGAGGAGCCTCATACCTGTGGCATGGAGGGAAAGGGGGTGTGGAGGGTTTGGGAGGGGAAGGACGGTGAGTTTGGAGCGGTTGCATGCGGTGGAGAGTTGACGGAGTAATGACGCATGAACTGCACATGGGGGAGAGGAGGAGGGGGATGAGGGAGTCCTATTGGGCTTACCAGTACAATGGGGAGAGAGAGTGTGCGGAATGGGGGGAGTCCTGTGGCACTCACCAGCACAGGGAGGGCAGGCCCTGGGGGCAGAGGTTCCAGGAGGAGAGGGTGGGGAGAGGGTGCGGAGAGGGCATAGAGAGGGTGGGGGGCTGGGGAGAGGTTGGGGGCCTGAGGGAGAGGATAAGGGCTTGGGAAAGCCCTTGGCACTGACCAGCAGAGGGAGGGCAGGCCCTGAGGGCAGAGGTTCCAGGAGGAGGCTTGGGCGTATTCAAGAGAGGCGAAGGCGGAGGAGAGGCGCAGCGTGAGCGGGCGCAGGGCGGGCAGCACCCCGCAGTCCGCCTCACAGCCAAAGCGGCCAAAGGCTGGGAACTCCAAAGGGCGCTCACACACCCCGTTGCCACAAGGGGGGTCCTTCCATACCACCTGAGGGGTGGGGCAGGCAGTGGCCAGTGGGCAGAGAGCATTTGGCGTTAAGACATGCTGTGTTGTCGCGCATCGAAGAGAGCGGTGAAGGAAGGCGGGAAGGAGGAGCAGATCAGGCACGTGGTGACCTTTGAGTCGACTCAAGAGTCAAGAGTCGAGCTGGCACGGGGTGCCCACCTGCATGGCGGTAGGGAGAGGGGGAGGGTGTGACGGCGGTAGGTAGCATGACATGACATGGGCAGAGTGGCTGCAGGAGACCGAAGCAGCAAGCGGGGCACCTAGAGGGGAGCACCTGGAAGGGAGCATCTAGGGGAGGGCACTTGAGGGAGCACTTGAAAGAGCAGCTGGAGTGGGGCACCTGAAGGAGCAGCTGGAGGGGAGCACCTGAAGGAGCACCTGGACAGGAGCACCTGAAGGAGCACCTGGACGGGAGCACCTGAAGGAGCACCTGGAGGGGAGCACCTGGAGAATGGTGTCGTTGAGCCAGGTGTAGAAGTCCTCTGGTCCACTCAGCGTGTTGGTCACTGCGCCTGACACTCCCTGCAGCCATCACACGGGGCGTGGAGGGGGGGGGGGGGGGGGGACGATCACACAGAGGAGGAGGGCACAGACGAGGTTTGAGACGTCTCAACACTCAGCATGCTGGGTTGGTCACTGCACCCACACGCCCATCACCCACACGCCACTCAGCAAGAAGAGAATTAGCGGGACGGAGGAGGATGTAGTGGGAGGTGGAGACCTGGTAGGTAGGTGCCCGATTGCCCAACCGAATGCCTCAGGTCAGCCACATGCCCCTGCACCCTTACTCCAGACACAGGGCCCATAGCCTCTCAGCATGCCTCCCCCACCCCACATGCCCAGGCACTCACGGGCGGCAGTAGGATGTTGTGCGAGGTGGCGACCTTGTAGTTGCGCGAGGAGTCGGCTTGCAGGTAGAGCACGGTGAGGTAGAGGCGTGGGTGCTGCCTGCAGGGGCGTATCGCCCGCCACACGCCCCTGCACCCACACGCCCCTGCACCCACACGCCCCTGCACCCACACGGCCACACCCTAGAACCCGTGGCAGGCTCACTGTGACTGGGCACTCACGGGCGGCAGCAGGATGTTGTGCGAGGTGGCGACCTCGTAGTTGCGCGAGGAGTCGGCTTGCAGGTAGAGCACGGTGAGGTAGAGGCACGTGTAGAGCGAGAAGGCGAGCAGGTTCTTGAAGTTCTCCGTCAGCCACTGCATGTGTGTTACTGAATCGTACATGGCTGGGAGGAAGGGGAGGGGGGGAGAGTAGGGAAGTGGGCGAGAAGGGGGAATAGGTGTGGGGAAAGGGAGGGAAAAAGTGATTTGTGCACCACTGCATGTGTAAAACCGCCTCATCACCTTCCACCTTGCACCGCATCTCACCTGCACCGCACCTCACCTGCACCGCACCTCACCTGCACCGCACCTCACCTGCACCGCATCTCACCTGCACCGCATCTCACCTGCACCGCATCTCACCTGCACCGCACCTCACCTGCACCGCACCTCACCTGCACCGCATCTCACCTGCACCGCATCTCACCTGCACCGCATCTCACCTGCACCGCATCTCACCTGCACCGCATCTCACCTGCACCGCATCTCACCTGCACCGCATCTCACCTGCACCGCATCTCACCTGCACCGCATCTCACCTGCACCGCATCTCACCTGCACCGCATCTCACCTGCACCGCATCTCACCTGCACCGCATCTCACCTGCACCGCATCTCACCTGCACCGCATCTCACCTGCACCGCATCTCACCTGCACCGCATCTCACCTGCACCGCATCTCACCTGCACCGCATCTCACCTGCACCGCATCTCACCTGCACCGCATCTCACCTGCACCGCATCTCACCTGCACCGCATCTCACCTGCACCGCATCTCACCTGCACCGCATCCCACCTGCACCGCATCTCACCTGCACCGCATCTCACCTGCACCGCATCTCACCTGCACCGCATCTCACCTGCACCGCATCTCACCTGCACCGCATCTCACCTGCACCGCATCTCACCTGCACCGCATCTCACCGCATCTCACCTGCACCGCATCTCACCTGCACCGCATCTCACCTGCACCGCATCTCACCTGCACCGCATCTCACCTGCACCGCATCTCACCTGCACCGCACCTCACCTGCACCGCACCTCACCTGCACCGCACCTCACCTGCACCGCACCTCACCTGCACCGCATCTCACCTGCACCGCATCTCACCTGCACCGCGCCTCACCTGCACCGCATCTCACCTGCACCGCACCTCACCTGCACCGCACCTCACCTGCACCGCACCTCACCTGCACCGCATCTCACCTGCACCGCGCCTCACCTGCACCGCATCTCACCTGCACCGCATCTCACCTGCACCGCATCTCACCTGCACCGCATCTCACCTGCACCGCATCTCACCTGCACCGCATCTCACCTGCACCGCATCTCACCTGCACCGCATCTCACCTGCACCGCATCTCACCTGCACCGCATCTCACCTGCACCGCATCTCACCTGCACCGCATCTCACCTGCACCGCATCCCACCTGCACCGCATCTCACCTGCACCGCATCTCACCTGCACCGCATCTCACCTGCACCGCATCTCACCTGCACCGCATCCCACCTGCACCGCATCCCACCTTGCACAACCTCCTTGTCCAACAGAAACTGCTCAGAAGCATCCTCGTCCTCCTCCTCCCCATCCGCCCCTCGTCTCTCCCACTCCTTGCCTCGCCCGCCGCCCACACTGCTCCCACTGCTCTCACTCGCACGGAACACCCCCCTCCCTCGCCGCTCCTCGTTCCTATCTGCTGCCGCAAACGCTGCTTCCACACGACTGGCCCTCAACTCGTCCTTAATGTCAAGGAATCCGATTGGCTTGTCTCTGTCCACGTCATCAGCCCCCATGCCATCCTCGTCGTGCTCCCCTGCGGCGTCGAGCGCAAGCGTGAGCTTCGTTCGCTGATCCAAACGCGGCGGAGGCTCGGCCCGAGCCTCATGCACAGGTTCGGGACCGTCCATGTCCTGGGACGGATTGGAACCAGAGTCGTCGAACCGGACGTGCGGCGTCAAGCCTGTGCTCGCCGAACCTACGTCCACCTCCCGGAGCCAACTCGGCAGGCCCGGCGGAGGCTCGGTGGCAGCAGCGGTGGCAGCAGCGACGGTAGGGTCGGCGATGAGTGGTTCGTTCATGAGCCTGGCCTCGAAAGCTGCAGCGTCAAACGCGGAGCCATGGTGGCTTTGGGAGCTGCCGTGGAGTGGGTGTAAGGGACAGGAAGAGGGGTGGGGAGGGGAGAGAGGGAGAGTAGAGAGGTAGGGGGGCAGGGAGAGGGTGGGAAGGGGGCAGAGGCTTGGGGAGCAGCTTAGGGTAATGGAGTGTGTTCAAAGAGAAAAAACGGGGAGGGGCAACGGAGAAGAGGAAGGGGCATGCGGAAAGGAAGAGTGGCAGGAGGAGGAGGAGAGAGCGAGCGACCACCCGAGCCACCTTCCGAAGTAACCCCCCCAGCCACCACTACTCGTGCTACGGTTCGCACCCTGGTGTGTGGGTGCCAGAGTCAACACGCGATTCTGTGCCCCATCGCATGCTGCGCTGCCCGTTGCACTCCTCCGTCCACTGCTCCGTTATAGGCTCCAACTCGATATTGCTCTCGCGGCCCGTCCCGTGCGGCAGCCATCTCGACATGGACAGCAGCGCCGGCGCCATAACGCCCTCCGCGCCGCCGCCGCCATTACCGCGACTGTCCAACTCCTCGCCACAACTACCCGACTCCTCGCCGCCGTTCCCCGTCGCAACCGCGGCCGCCGGCGTGGCTCGCCGCTCCCACCCCAGCAGGCGGTACCAGAACGGCCGTTCCGCCTCCGCCGCGCCCGCTCCCTGCGTGCCGTCATCGGTGGCGCCGCTGCCTCCGAGCCACCGCCACACTTTACTCTCCGCCGACGCGCCTTCAGACTCATCCGCAGACATCCAATCTTGCCGGTCAGTGCTCTCCCTCCGCTGCAGCCCGTCGCGATATTCCGCGTTGCGCGGGTGTCCGTCGGTTCTCGGCGAGTAGCCTGAGCGATACGATTGGTTGGAACGCGGAGACGGCGGTTCGAAACCAGGCGACCGGTCGCCGTACGGGCTGCGACCGTTTCTGCGACGGTCGCCGCGACGAAGTGACTGACTAGGCAACAGCTGAGGGGGCTTACGACCTTGCCGCGAAACGCGGGAGTGCTGCCGGACCACAGAAGCGATTTCCGCCATCCGTTCGACCACAGAAAATAGTCAAAGTCGGCTACATTGACCGCAAAAGTTGCTCTGCAAGCGAAAAAAAAAGAGCGAGTTTTGAGTTAACGCGTGAAGCTGGCAAGTTAGGACATGTGTCGAGTCCCGATGGACACCAGCTGGTGGTGAGGGGTCAGTGTCCCATCATATCAGTGGGAAGAGCAAAGGTGCTGTTCTTCAGGCACCACGGAGGTCAGGGGAGGGGAAATAGGTAGCTTCCTGGCTCTGCGTTTTTTTGTCCTAAAGTTTGGTCAGCCCGGAAAATGATGCCGAGCCTCCCATTTTCTGTCCAAACTTTAATCGGAGGGAAATGGTCGCATAACCGCCCTCATGGAAATGCCCTCCAGGAAGGTGGGACCACACCTTCCTTATCAGGCAACCCCATTTGCCGTGGCCTTGACCTACCACCGTTCACGTGGTCATGGATCAAACGAGCTGGAGAGAATTGCTCCAGTGCCTTCTTTGGCGATTCGCTCTTGCCCACGTGTCCCCGAATTGCTCGAGTGGCCATCCAATTCAGTGATAATTGCTGATCCATCCAATCCAAGTGGCCATGCCAGGGCATTTTCGAGGTGTTTTTTTTCCCTGGCACATAACCCTACAAGGGTTCGTACCCCCGAAATTCCTCGTTCGCACAATAGTAGATGCGCGGTCATTTTCGGCCCAATGCGCGACCAATGAGCGCGTGGGCAATTACATCAGCGATCATAAACTGCAACGCCAGAGCATAAATGCACGAACATATTATTGACCGCGCACGATTGGTCGATAATATGCTTCTTGCCCTTTTTGGCAATGCGCGTCCAATAACGCAACGGTCATATAATTCACGACCATATATTTAGGCGATAAAGGGTCGCCCAAAAACCAATATGAGCGCGCATATATTACCATTAGTTCTATCATATGTCCGGTCCATAGAAAACCATATATATCAAATGCCATAAATATATTATGTGCTATAAATTTAAGCCCATCATACTAGACATACTATTGTATCTGTGAGAGAATTGAGGAATGAATGATTGAACTAGAAACGAGGTGGGTACAAGAAGAGAACACAAAAGTGTTGTACCCTCTAGGAAATACCCCACTACAGCCTAAACAGACTATAGTAGATATAAGTTTGACACACCCCCATAGGCAAAGTGGGGGAGAACAAGAGGTCACAAGACCAGTCAAGAAAGACAAAGCAAGCTCAGGGTGGATCACAAAGTCACCACGCAGTCTGAGCACAAGCAAAGGGCCACAAGGCCAGTTCACATGCAGAGTTATATAAAGGACAGCAAACAATACAGTGAACACAACCTAGCAAGTATAAGCATGCAGGTATATGTACAAAGAGTACAGTACAGTCAGAGTCAAGAAGAAAGCAAGTGAGGCACAGTAGGTACAAGGCCTAACACAGTACAGAAGCGCTGATGATCACAAGGCTGAAGTGCCTTGGTGAAAACATCAGCAGTGTTGGCCTGAGAGGCCACGTAAGCTAGACGAAGCTGGCCACGCTGCTGCAACTCTCGAGCAAGGAAGTAGCGCAGAGCAATGTGCTTCGTTCTGTGCTCCAGTCTGTGCTCCTGACACAAGGCCAGCATGGCCTTGTTGTCGACGTACAGAACTGGAGGAGAACGAGGCGCCTCTCCCAAGTCGGTCAGCAGGTAGGTGAGCCAGCGTAGCTCCTGTGCAGCCATGGCCCCAGCGTAGATCTCAGCCTCACAACTGGAGCTGAGAACAGAAGAAGAGCGGGTAGACCGCCAAGAGACAGAACCTGAGCCAAGGCTGAATGTGTAACCCTGTGACGACCGCTGCGTAGCCAAGTCGTCAACCCAGGAGGCGTCAGCGTGACTAGTGAGGACAACTCGATCCCGTCCTCCAAGCACGAGCCCCATGCCCGATGTACTGCACAAGTATCGCAACACCCTCTTCGCAGCATCCCAGTGCACCTTTCGTGTGAATGTTTAAAAAGAAGAAGGAGGGTTGCACTAGCAAGAATGAGGATACAAATAGCAAACCCTAGAAGGGTTGTACTCGCTATAGAGCACCCCACTACAGGCTAGAGCATAATATTCTGACACACCCCCATAGCCAAAGTGGGGTGTAATCAGCAGAGCAAGCAAAGCAGTACAAGCTCAGGGTGGATCACAATGTCACCACACATTCTGAGCACAAGTTCAAGAAGCAATAGTTTAAAGTTCACAATTATGAGCAAAGCTAGAGGCTATCGCAGAGGGCAAGTGAGGAGGAGGAGAGACTGTGGGGGAGAGAAGATGGGAGGCGACTGCTGACGCTGCAGACACACAGACGAGCTGCTGGCTCAGTGGCTACCGGAACAACGCTCCGGACTACTGGGGTAACTGGCCCCGCGGCTAAAAGTAGCGGCAGACGAGCAACGGACCCACGGGCGACTGGCGACTACCGGAGATTGTAGCCTCCGGACTGCTGCTGCTGCTGACGACAAGACTGCTGCCTCCACTCGACCTCCCCCAAACAGTACCACCCCTCCTGACACACACCCGCTGCTACACCGCTAGCTCCACTCCCCCTTCACCCCCCCTTAGCACCACTCCAACGGCTCCAACAAGTCCACCCCCCCTCAGCGGCAGCTGCAGCATAGGGAGACGGAGGAGGAGGAGGAGCAGGGAACGGCACACAGTAGTTTCACCCCCATACCCCTCACCCCCAAACCCTAATTCAGGAGAACGGGCTGTAGGAGGGGTGGGGCGCCAGCAGAAGCACGGGGGACAGCGGGGAGGGCAGGGGCAGCGAGGAAAGGGCCGCCCACGGGCCTGGCACAGCCTCCCGAACCGCGCGCAGGCGGCCCGAGCCGCGCGCGGGCCTGGCGCAGCCCGTACGGGCCGCGCGCGGGCCTGGCGCAGCCCGTACGGGCCGCGCGCGGGTCTGGCGCAGCCCGTACGGGCCGCGCGCGGGTCTGGCGCAGCCCGTACGGGCCGCGCGCAGGCCTGGCGCAGCCCGTACGGGCCGCGCGCCGGCTGTACGGGCCGCGCGCAGGCCACGACGGGCGACGGGGGGCGACGCGCGGGTCCCCGTCGCCCGTCGCAGCGCCTCCCGAGGGCGACGCGGCGAGTGACGGGGTAGAAGCCTGCCGCGCGCCTCGGGGCGCACAGCGGGCAGAGAACCGCCGCGCGCCACGGGGCGCACGGCGGGCAGAAAACCGCCGCGCGCCTCGGGGCGCACGGCGGGAAGAAAAACTGCCGCACGCCACGGGGCGTGCGGCACAGAAGGTAGTAGTGGAAGTTGCAGCGGAAGCAACGAGGTGGTGAGCCCACCCACAGGATCGATCCAAGGGGATCGACCTGCTCTGATAGCATGTGAATGTTTAAAAAGAAGAAGGAGGGTTGCACTAGCAAGAATGAGGATACAAATAGCAAACCCTAGAAGGGTTGTACTCGCTATAGAGCACCCCACTACAGGCTAGAGCATAATATTCTGACATTTCGGTGCCTGCCGGGAGCCACGTAGCGAGCCAGAAGGCTGAGAGGGTATGCGAGGTCAGGTCGTGTGCAAGTCATCAGGTACATGAGGCAGCCCACAAGCTCTGGATACGGGCCACTCGGCTCTACGGACACGTCCGAAGGTGGAGCTGAGAGCGAGTGACTGGTAGGCAGAGGAGTGGACTGTGGCGAGGAGAACGTGAAGCCGAAGCGCTGAAGGACCTGCTGCACCATGTGTGACTGAGTCAAGGTAATGGTGCGCTGTGCTCTGTCCCGGGTGATCTGCAAGCCAAGATAGCTTCTCAACTCACCCAGGTCTGTGCACGTGTGTCTCTTCTGCAGCTCGGACTTCACGTGGGCGAGTGCCTCCGTGTCAGCAGTAGCAAAGACGAGGTCGTCTACGTACACGAGAACCTAGAACGGCGGCATAGTAGTGTCAGTGCGTAGAAACAGAGAAGGGTCAGCAGTGGAAGGAGCAAAACCAAGAGAAGCAAGAGTCGTCCTGAGCGTGTCGTGCCACTCACGGGGCGCCTGGCGGAGACCGTAGAGTGGCCGCCGGAGGCTCCACTGGGTACCAGCAGGAAACGACCCAGTGAAGCCAGGTGGGCGGCGCAGCCAGATCTCCTCGTGCAGGCTGCCCTGCAGGAAAGCAGTGCTGAAGTCAAGAGAGTGAAGCTCGTAGTCACGCTGAGCAGCGACGTGCAGCAGAACCCGAAGAGTGGTCATCTTCGGGGTCGGGGAGAAGGTCTGAAAGTAGTCAACTCCCTGTCGCTGACTGAAGCCACGTGCAACGTAACGCGCCTTGAAGGCAGGCGGAGAACCAGGCGGCCGCTTCACCCTGAAGATCCACATGCCACTGACGATGTTCGCCCCAGGTGGGGGAACCTCGTCTACGTAGGTGCCTGTGGACTTCTAGGAAGCCATCTCTGCGTCCATGGCTGCCTGCCACTGAGAGGAGTAGGGACCCTCTATCGCCTCTGCGTAAGAGCGCGGGGTCGGGATGTCTAGTGCATCCGGGTCTCCCTCAGGGGCCAGCAGCATGGACACGAGATGAGGTACAGAAGCAGCAAAGCACTCAAACTCCTCCTGTCTGTCCTCAAGAACGTCCGTGCCAAGAGCACACTCACCCCCGATGGACGGAGGACAGACAGACACAGACGCAGACTCAGCAACAAGACTAGTGGCGAAGTCTAGGCGACAGGCAGCAGCAAAGTCAACAAGCTCAGCAACGAGAGCAGACGCAGCAGTGGA